TCGGAAAGTCAAAATTCACGTAATGTAAAGCTAGCGTACGGCCAGTTATTTGTTAGCATCCTCCTTTGGATATAGGCTATGAATCCATAACATTAATTTACTCCAGCATAAATGGGATATGTTAAAATAAATGAATATTAAGCGTCCGTCAATTTTGTTTTTTACACCGATATGTATATACTAGTACAGCTGTAGATGGTTGAACGGTTGTCTGCACGTTTGATTTTACGGTGTTGGTGAGCGGTGATGTGGTCAATGGACAATATCTTTTTTCGAAACACATGCTTCCCATTCGGACAAAATGCTTTAGCTCTCGTCATTTCTTTACCGTAAACCCGGTTTCGTCACAATTGAAGATCTGCAAATAAGCAAAACTAATTGTAAGGAAAGAAAAAGCCTTATTATTGTGTGTCTGATGTATAAAACTGTAAGGTGGATGTGTTTTCATTATTGTTCATTTTTAAGACATAAAGTTGTTACGCATATCAATACTTGGCTAGGCTTATTTTAATGCAATATTTCCACAATATTCCTTCAGGAAATTCGAAGTAATTTCCAATGACTTTAACATTTGACATAGCTATGCGGCTCTGTCCAAATTTTCCGGCTTCCTTGGAGAGAGATTCGGCTGTATCGACAACCAGCTATCAGATTGACCCTTTTTCATGTCGTGCGACCTAAAAATAAAGTTTTTAACAGATATAACAGTATCCTAACTGATGCTTTGTTAGTTTTGTATAAAAACAGTATATAACTCAAAATATGTCGAATAAATTTTAAGTGTCATAGTTTGGAATTTTAAGATCATTTATCTACGTTTATTTTAACCAGAAGTATCTTTTTACGAGATAAACAATTTATGTACTGAAGAGGGGAATTAATTTTATGACGATGACCTTATATTATTTTTTTCAATTTAATGCGTCCCAGACTTTTTAATGATGTCAATGATAAACATCTAGTCATGGCTCTTGTCAAGGGAAATCCTTGACTGGTAACATAGATTAGATTATAAACAAGTGATTTCTCCTCATCAGTCAGTTCCGTCCTTGGCCCGGATTTCATACCCTTGTATCTGCCCTTCAACTTGTCAGACAGAGTGGACTTAACCTCTTGAAATTTCTTAGCAGCTTATCTTAATTTTATTGTTTTATGTTTAACAACAGTTGTAAGCATTTTGTACTTGTTGTTCTCCATACTTTTCAATACTGGCATTTCTTTGTTTAAAAAAAACGAAGATATATTGTCCCGACTAAATAAAAATAAACTTATCCTAATATGTAAAATAACGCATTACGGGCCTCAATATTTGCGCTTGCGCAGAATAGATCATTCCCCCACATGACAAGGTCATGAAATAACATACTTAAAAAGGGAATGTAAGTTAACCTCTGATCCCCTTTCAAAATAGTTCCGCCCATTGTTTTCTCGTTTAGGGCAAACGTATTTTGTTCACTTGGGGACCATATGCCGTTTTTTATGGAATGGCACTAAGGTGACACATTGACGGTTCCATGATAACCGCCATATGAACATCTGCGGATGTTTCAAAGTTCCAATTTTACCAGTTTATGTTAATGTTAGATACTGCTTAAGCCGCTGCTAGGGGGTGTGGACGGTATTTTGCATATTCCATTACCGTCCATGAACAGGTGCAATCAAACCGAGCCTGCAACATTTTTAATTTTGTCGTTTTATAAGTTCTTAAGGATTCTTTATTTCTCTCTATTTTAATATAAAATTTAATCAATATTATTTACATGGCAGCGGTTTTGTTGCAATTTACCTTGAAACGGAAAGCATCTGTGCGATTCAGACCAGATGATTTTATAATCGAAAAATAAAAAAAACGCTTATTTGATACGAAGGTAAATGGTTGTCTAGTAAATATGAAGGATCTCAGGAAGGTCACTGGAGCTGTGTTTATGAGTATAGTAGTTTAATTGTAAAAAGAGACAACAAATGCGTTAATATCAGCTTGTTTAAAGATAAAGACACTTTGAATAGAACCCATCTCAACTTTTAGATAAAAACATAATTATCTTCAAGCACAGATATCCTGACATACACATGTTTTGTAAGGCTATCAGATACGGGAGTATTGTGTTACATTTACCTGACTGGGTTGAAATAGAGTAGGGCGGAAAAAAATCCTCATTGCGTATAATTTTTATAGTGTCGATATTTTCATCTCTCATAGGATAGTGATAAACCTGTGACAACTTTGTCTGATAACTTTGAAAATGTGATATAATATGTTATGCGCCCAGATTGTTTCTGTAAGCACATCCTCTGTGAGTATTGTACAAACAGTTTTAGAGATATCAATTAGATAAAATTAAAATTACTTTCCGGTCAAGAACATTGATTATCTCCCCATGAGTGCGTATGTTATTTATGAACGCCTGAAGCCCGTCCTAACGAAAACCGTAAACACCACTGAAATCGATATTATTATGATTTTAACAAGATCACTAATGCTATTTATAAAAGCTGTCGAATTTCGTTTAACGTTATTCTATTTCACACTCTACTGTATAAAAATTAAAAATGAAATAAATGATAAGAAAGGAAATATCATTTCATTATTCAAGAATTATTTTGTCAAATTTTCAACAATATAAACTCACGGGGGAGTTCTTATGATAACTTGTCAGGAGTTCTTGTGATAACTGACACGAAGTTCGTCGGAAAACTTTTGTATAAACAACATAAACACTCGTCAAAAATGGTAATTTTCATCTTTAAAAAGTACGTTTTAGATGCTTAAGTAAACTTTAATGAGTTTAATGATTAAGAATGTCTTACTTATGATATTGTATGCCAAAGGCCATTTTTATCGCCTCTTGCTTAAAATCTAGTAGTTTTGAGTAAAATTTCCAAATTATTTGCCAATTCGCAAGCATTGACCTGTTTATTTCTGGTCTTTATTATAGCCATGTATAATTATCTAAATATAGTGCAAAATTGCAAACGTATAGCCCCGACTATCAAATTTATACCCGATTTTTAAAATGTCCTGAAGTTCTTATGAAAACTCTGAAGATATCTTCCAGTCCAACATTATATCCTCCACATTTATGTGCAAAAGGTGAGCGTTTTATATTTCATAATGAGATATAACCTTTTTAAATAATAAAAACCGCTAAAACGTGCCGTGATTCAGCACAAGAAACACACTGGCAGTAATAAAAGTTATCATATGTATTGTGTTTACACTAGCGCTCGATTAATCCACCCACACGGGGGAGGAACTGTAACACAAAACTACCAGATTGATGAAAAATGGTCTAAGAATTCGTTTTTGACACATAATACAGGATGTAAGGCAAGCTTTATCTTTCAAAGTTAATTATTAAGCATCTTAAACTCACTTTTTAAAGATGTAAATTACCATTTTTGACGAGTGTTTTTGTAGTATATACAAAAGTGTATCGACGAACTCCTTGACAGTAATCACAAGAACTCTGACAAGTCATCATTGGAACCCCATCCCTCGTGTAACAATTTCTCCCCGTTACTCATGTCAGTTTAAAATAAAATCATTTTGGCGCCTTTATGAATTGAATTGAATACTTCATTATGAGGCTTACACATTTCTTACATAAATTTTATCCACTGATATAGATACAACTTGTGGTGTTAGTGTGTGGGAGATATTATTTAAGCATCATCTGTAAAGGAAACATAAAAAAACTGAAAATTATATTAAAATTCAATATTAATGTTGTCTTAAAAAGGCTCTGTGAACTATCTTATCGAAGAAGAAAAAAATAACAGCTGCAAATACATGCAGTCCCTAACCGGTGTTTATTGGCAGGTAATTCAAGTAATATTATATAAATAACACATGGGTTTGTGGGTAACAGTAAAAATATCATCCCGAGGGAAATACTATTACCCGAGGCGTAGCCGAGGGTAACAGTATTTTTACGAGGGATGGTATTTTTACTGTTACTCACAAACCCATGTGTTATTTATTTTATTACCCCGTACAAAAATACTGTGATGATCTGAAATTGTCAATAACTAAACTGTCCTTACCTTTTAAGTTTTAAGTGTACTTTAGGCCTACTTAAGACGTTTTCTTTTTCTTTTATTCTTTAAGCAAGTGATGATATCTACAAGTCATAAACATGCAATAAGCTAGGTTTCATTTAGAAAACAAAACACTTACCCATTTATACGGTTATGATCTGTGAAATCTGATCCTTCTTTTTCCAAAATATTCTACGCATGGTTTTTGACAAAGTGCATTTAGAAAATAACGATGCTATCCTACAGATGTCTGTCCAACAACTCTTTCTGTAAGTTAAACGTTTCACTGGTTAAAATTGTTAAATAATCTTTTGTTGCATGCTTTAATTGTCTGCATGTTCCAGTTTGACACAAAATTATTCACATTACAATTACTTACGTTGAAAACGGATGTTTCCTTTTGACTAATCAACAAAAAAATATTTTATACGCGAAAGGAACTCTAAGGTGCAAGGAACTAAATTTTATGAGAGTAATAGTTACTTCGGCGATGTCCTATCGTCGAAAACAAGAATGAATCGAACCATTTTATTTCATTTTATTTAGAAAATAGACCACCCACGTGACCAGATTTTATACTGTTAAAAAATACTGTTACCTATGTAACAGTACAAAATTCTTAGTCACGTGGTACACTTGCATTAACAGTAAGAATAACTCCCAGAGGCCTACGGGAAAATTAACATTACGAAAAAAGTGAGGGGTAATAAAATATATTTTGTTTCATGGTACTTCTTTTTTTCAAAAATTGTATTTTTAGAGTTTACGTGACATTTATTTGCTTATAAAAAGTTCAGCTTAGTAGAACTTTTTATTTCGTTTGCTAAGATTATATGATTGTAAATGAATGAATTTAGATAGAGAAAGTACTTTAATATTGCAAGTTTTGCTTCAAAAGTATGTCAATAACAAGATAAATCTTATCTTTCTTTGTTCAGATATGATCATGTTTATACTGCGTCAAAATCTTTATTTGAAACATTTAAAAAGGTTTGAACGTTTAGAAATCTGAATAGGATTTGCAGAGCGGATTATAAAAAAAATCATACTGGATTTAATGTAAGTAAGTGTATAAGAAATGTTAGATTAATAATCTGATGTTTTCGTCAGTAAAAGGTGCATGTTAGAAGTCGAAAAATCATGTAGGTTGGAAAGAAAGTAGGTTGATAAGCAACACCTAAATCATTATACATTTTAGGAAAATAAATTTAAGTACTACACTTTTATAACGAAGAACCGTGTATAGATTTTGTAAACTGCTTCTTCTGCTTTTTTCTTAAGTTTCCATTTTTTAATAATATCTTATCGTTGTTTTTGTCCCTCAACGTTTTTTCTCATTTTTAATCACATGGACAAAAAAACCCACCTATAATGAAACTACCGATTACCATTCCTTTGCCAGTTTTATTGATAAAAACTTGTCAGTAATTTGAAAAAAAAAAAAAAAAAAACAACAAAAAACAACAAGATCAGCAACACATTTCTATGATTTTTTTTGATTTTAAGATTTTATGTTTATCACACTGTGCATATATGAAAGACCATCTTCGAAAATATGTACGATGGTATCAGGTTTATTTCAGTAACTTTTAACTTGGCGTAAATCATCTCTTGCATGTAGCTAGATTTTGGAAGGAATTGTAATTTGCTAACTTACATATTGATAGATGAAAATTTTAAATGGCCTGATGCAGAAAAAGGGGAGAGCAGACCTTGAACCTTGAACGAGGTGCACGTTCCTTATTACGCTTTGAATTGAGTCAATGTACACGCGTGTGAAATGTCTGATTCATGGGAAAGTTAGCACTTACTGCATGACGCTTAATAACTGAAATACTATCATCCAGCGGTGCTATATAAAATAATTTAATTCAAAATCATGAATTGATTATTCTATTTGATTAACTCAGTATTGTTTAAGGGGATGTATAGAAAGTAAAAAAAATAATAATAAAGCACACCGCATCAAGTTAACAAATGATTGCACACAAGGCGATTATTCTAAATCTGTAACACAAAGAAATCTGAATTAAATAGTACAAAATGTTTATGTATTAGGCGATTTAAATAAGATATGTTATATCACCTTTGTTTTCGAACGGATTAGCCTACGTGAATACGTGAACAAAGGAGTGATTTTATTATATGTCATCATCAGTGATTAGTTTCCATTTTATTGTTTATCTGCATATTGTTTCATCTCAGTTCATTCCGAAATAAATTCATGAGCAATCGTGCATTCGTTTTTCTACCAGCTGTTCGAATTTTTCTTACTGAAGCGACCACTTTATATTTCAATATCTAACTGACATCCACTGAACACATGGGTGAATTATTTGTACTATATATGATTCATACAAATTTATTAAAATAATTTAGCATTTTTTAAAAAACTTAACGGCATACAAATACTACAGTCATGGCTATTCGTTCGTCCAGACTTTGTCACGCATAAATGATAAAGGTCAATTTGTAGGAGGTAAAGATACAGAGGATAAAATTTACGAATTAATTTACGATTTATCTTATGTCTGGATTTTGTTTTATTTTATCAACCGACTTAATATTATAAGAGATGATTTTTCCTGAACAGCAACACTGTATAGCGTGGTACACGTTTAATTTGTACATTGGGAAGATACGATTATCATTTAAGAAACTCCTTTCAATCAACATTGGCAGTACTTCACTTCAGTGTTGTTTTATTTGTCTGGTCCTTCGGGATCATTGATGCAAACACTATTGAGTGTTGAGAATCAAGTACCGCTCAAGCCTATGAGAGATGTTGCACTTATTCATTATCCCTCATGTACTGACTCAATCAAACCGTGTCTGCAATTTTCATGTTATTTTGATGTGATTGTTGCTTCCTAGGGATTAAGATTTCAATAATGAGAATGAGGTTATCAGACTGCTCACACATGTACTCCATAAAGGAACAGTTCTTAATATCTGGAAAAAAGTGATCTTTCGGAGGCAATAAAATCAGCGAAATTCGGTTTGATCGAGGCTGTACATGAGCGATAATAAAAAAGCAACATTCTTCACGCCCCTAAGCAACGGCTTGAGTGGTACTTAGTCTAGAATCAACGGCCTCGAAGAACATAAAAAATATATGCAATTTTTTTACGGCTGGCTCACGGCATGACACTTGTTATGTCAGACACAGTTGAGGTATGAGGCTTTACCTTCCTTGAATACCTGAACAACACAAAAGTCATTTACATTCGTAATTTATTTCACAAAATCACTTTTTGTAATGTCCGTATCAATTATGCACTAGCGTTTGTCGGTTATTATCGGATTTGGATCGAAGTAAATAATACAACGGTAAGCATATCGCTTGGCGATAACTTGTAGGACTTTCAGTTTGTTGTCCGTTCGAATCAAATGAAAAATACTTTATTGTTTTCTTGCATGATCTTAAGCTTTTTATTATATTTTGCAAAAGTTGATCAATACATTTTATGCATCCGAGTCGCTCATTTATTGAAATTAATGAAATGAAAAGCTATGTATTTATCAATATGATAAAAGTGCTATAAATGAAACACACACTTTATCAACTCGTGTTTTAATATATATTTAAAAAGTCAGTTTATGAAAACTGTAAAATACGGTTTGTCCAAGATTCGAACTTGCAACTAGATGGCCACAATTCCGCGGTTCTTACCACTAGGCCATCGAACAGTATATTTTGTATTAAAGTATCGACATCTCTACTACCATTAAAATTGTAAGCATTATCCATAACACACTACGGAAACTAACAAAAAAAAAACACGAAAATTAATGAGTCTCAGGTCAATATTGCCAAACAATAAATCGCCTTATATTTAAGATAACATCGTTGGGTTTTAGCATACTAATGCTTTAATATTTAGATAAGCTCTTTCTCAAGGGCATTTTAATCTTTGAAAGTTGTACAAAACGAGAAACAAAATTGGTTATCTAATTGTATCCTCTCAAATTAGAGAAGAGTCCTCGATATTGAAGTGCACGTTATATCATTGTACAAACATGTATGCTTTGAACAGGAAATGAACCCTTGCGTTTTGTTAGGATTGATAAAACAGGTACGGATAAAAGTATTCATGCGGGCCGGCATCATACTCTACAGCACCACCACCGGACGCACAGTCTACCGTTCAAGGCGCGGGGCTCGATTTCGACAGACACCCATGTATACGTGCAGAGCCGGCGCACAGAGTGCGTAAAAGAAATGACGGCTTTCTGAGGTCTTTGCTTTACGACGTTCAATACATTGGGAACCTGTTAATATATTATCATAAAACGTAGATTTATGCTGATTTCTTTTTGTTAAGTTTGCCATGATATAAAAAACTTATTAAAAGAGAAAACGGAACCCCTTAAGAACACTTAAAATGTAAATAATAATTTCGTATCGTCATGGAAAAATGAAAACATGTCATGTAATTCCTCCTCTTCAAAGAACATACATTCAGAAAAGCTCACAGCGAATAATTTCCCCTTCTCACCCTCCAAAATTAAGATTTCAAAGTACATAATTTTGTGAGATTGGTAACAAGCGAATAATTTCCCCCTTTTCACCCTCCTAAACTAAGATTTTAAAGTACATAAATTTGTAGAAAACCACGCCGCCTTTGGTAACGAGCGGATAATTTTCCCTAGGTTACAGTGACTTGCTTGAGTACAAATTCATGAGGAATATTCAAGACTGTTATTAAATATTTCGAATATCTATCTTGAATTTGTATCAGGAAGATGAAAATACATTGATATTCCCTCGCTGTGCGTATAATTATATAAATTCCAAATCAAATGCTTGAAAAATGATCCTCACTCAAAGCGAAAGGAAGTGTTGTAACTATTGATATAAAAATTAATAAAGAAAAGTAACCCAACTCTTCTTCGGAAAGTATCAAAGTAATTGTTGTTATTCTATCCATTAACGAGGTGCATGTCTAATGTATGAACCGTATTTTCAACTTAAAAGTTAAAACATAAATATAATGGATTTTTAATATGACATCTAACTGACTAGTGCCCTTCTTGCTAACCTAAATATAGATGTACATCTACACGTAAATCCACAGCGCCAAAGTGGCCCCATTTCTGAAACCACTATATATATTATGCGAAGAACGGCGTATGGTACCATGATAAAGAATGCGCGTGCCCCTTTACTAAATAAAAAACAATGGGCGAAACTTAATAAATAAAATGGAATTTTGAACGGGAACCAATGACATTCAAAAAAATGACTAATGAAAATTGTTCGTATATTCAGTCCTTCTCTGTAAATTTTCAGGAAGTCAAACTGATTGCAAGAAACAAAAACTGAACGTATCATTTTTATTTGTTTGGGACGTCAGACCAAACAAATAATGGTAGCGAAATTTCAGACTCTAATGCTGTTAATTGCAAATGCCGAAAGTAGTCCGCTTTTTTGCAACGGTTACTTTCCTTTATATGTAACACTAAGGCCGAAAAATTCAGGGGAGATCACTGCGTAAATATGGTCACATGACAGGCGCATTAATTTTCAAGCAAAATAAATCCCGAATGGTCGAAGATTTCTAATATTGTTTTATTCTTTATAGATATACATGCTTATAGTAAGCGCCATGATTTTTTACACAAGTGTTGAAAAACAGTTAACGCCGTTTCAAAACCTTATTAAGAATAATATGGTTTTCTTCAGGCCGGAAACAAGTAAAGTCACCGTGGCCTAGGGGTTTGCGCGCTCGCTTAGGAAGTGAGAGGTCTCGAGTTCAATTCCCAGTAAAGCCAACTCATTTTTTTTAATTGTTTAAGTCAAATAAACATTGAATTGAATATCAGTGCTGTAATTGTCTTGCAAATGCAGTGTCTTATAGCCAAGCTACTACAATTAAAACGCTGGAAAGCATTGGTGGCACTATACAAAAAACAAATTGTTTAATAATCTCACAACCTTCACCTTTCTGAAATTCTGAGACCCAAACAAATTCAGCGCCTTCTGTGCTTTGATTTATAGTGTAGTTTTTTTGTATCCCAAAAGTTAAATCTTTCTGCATACCCGTTACTTAACAGCATCCAGAAACAATAGTCATGACTATTCGCTCGTCCAGACCTTTATGAAGTTGAAATTGTGAATTCATGAAGTCGACATTGTGATTTCATGAATCAAGTTGAAATCTTGAATTCATGAAGTTGAAATCTCACACATGTTCTTCTCATGATCCCACAACCCGTTTCTACGACTATGTGCGATCAAACATATAGAAGGGAAACTTAGCCTTTTAAAAAATAATCCTATATTTTATATTTCAAAAATTAGCCCGATCACCTATTTCCCATGAAATTGACTATTTATAAAGATAATAAAAAGCAGTAAAAAGTCGCTAGTGTGCCCAGTGAAGAGACATTTCTTGCCCTAATAGCGGGTTGGTAAGACAGAAAACAAGGAAGGACGTTTAAAGGATTTTATATACACTGTGCATGTATTTTCTGGTCCGATTCAGTTTTCATCGCCGATTACAACACTAGATCTTGATCATTACACGCTTGTGTTTGTTTAAACTATAGAACCAGCTGTGAGATAATATTAATGTTAGCGACAACATAACATGCTTTCCTAAAGATGTCTATTTACTATTTTAACATTCTAATCTAACAATCATAAGATTAAATGTGCAGAAGTATTACTAGTATAAATAAGTAAGTAGGAATTATCGGTATTTTCCGGGCACTTTTTCATTATACCTCATGTACAGACTTGATCAAACCGAGTCTGCAAATTTCATGTTATGTTGCTGTTTTAAATCCGATGGATCACTATTTTCCAGATATTTTTATACAAACTAACATTCACTTTCACCGTAAAGTGGTTGTCGTAAGACTAGGACATCTGTTGTTTACTTCAAGTGTCAAAAGAATTTTGACAATTTACATGCTAAAAATTACAATGAGAAAATGTGCATGCGGTCGGTCTCGGTTTTCATATCGCTGTCCGTGTCCGTAAATACTTTGCAGACCTACTCCTTGAACGATAACTATTACAAATACAAGAAAGTGGTTGCAAGCCGATGTTCTCTTTACAAACTCTTAAATCAACTCACCCTTAGTTTTTGACAAAGATTTCCATGTTAATAAATCACAGTATTGTATTGAGAGCCAGAATGAAAGATTCATTTCTGGTTGTCATATTTTGCTAATGTAGCTGTAAATAATTACATGTATATACAGTGGTTATCACTCATTGTAACAACGATTTTATCATATAGTCGTGTAGTAAGAAAGCTGGTACGATAGTTCTGTTTTACTATTTATCAATAAATTAAATGTTTACACCTGTAGTGTGATTATATATAGGTAACACGAACCATCATGTATGAGTAATTTTTGTCATACATTTTTTTTGCCCATTTCAGATAAAATGGCTGGCAACTTTGAACAATCCATGTCTGTATGTATTTATTTGCATAATTACACCCTTATTTTCATAGTTGTTCATTTCGGGTACTTTACAACATTTGTTTCTTCAATTTTGATTTTACTTAAATTTGATTCCTTGCTCGTGCATCTAAAACATCTAAAACAAATCTTCCGCCAAAGAATTGTTTTCGATCTAAATAACGAATGGCCATAAAACTCAAAATACTTATAAGTTACGGAAACACTGGACTTAACAGTCATGGGTTTGCATTTTACAAGAGAAATTCGAAAATTTTAACAAAGTTATCAATCAAAAGTTTATGGTATAAAACACTTTTATAAGAAATACTAATTCTTTATTTAAATGTCATTAAAGCTCATTTGTTGACTAAATAAGAGTTAACGACAAACCATGTAAAGCTGACTGATGTTTACATGCCGTTTTCAAACCTTTAACATTATTAAGAATCATTATGGACAATATGAGTTGTACATTTAAATAACTAATATTTGCACTTTTGCCCTAATTTAATTCAATTGAGGTCTCTGTGCAGATTTTGAGTTTTATTCCTTAATATGTGAACCTATGTTATGTCGATTTATTGGCAAATGGTGCCTGCTTGTTTTGAAAAATAAATTTGAAAATAATCATTTGCTTTTGTTTAGCACATAACGAACATAAATACGAGCTACGTTCGTCTTTTGTTGTGAAATCAAGAATTTTGTGTGTGCTTATGTCCCATTCAATAGAGAAAATAAGAATCTCTATAGAAAGCCCAACACGGCTAAATTGAAAATGTTGCAGGCTTGGTTTGATTGAGCCTGTTCATGGACGGTAGATCTCCACTGTCAAGGTGCAAATTACCGTCGACGCCCCCTAGCACCGACTTAAGCAGAATTCAATATTAAACATGAACTGGTACAATTTGGAATTTTGAAACATCCGCAGATGTGTTCATATGGCGGTTATCATGGAACCTTCAATGTAACACGTAAGTGCCATTCCATGAAAAGCGGCATATGGTCCTCAAGTACAAAAATGCGTGTGCCCTAAACGAGAAAACAATGGACGGAACTAAATTAATTCGAATTTTGAAAGGGGATCAGAGGTTATGAAGCCTGCATTTCTTTCTTAATAACTCGATTGATCAAAAACATGTCTTTCTTATAATCTATAAACATAGCTACATATTGCTTTATACAGTTTCAGTTTAATTCTGGCCATAAGAATTTGTAAGCAAATGCATTAAACTGGTGATTAAAGCATGTTTGTTACTTTTGTTCCATTGAAGTGGTATGGCGATAGTCTAAGTTTGAGTTGACATTCTTAGATTCATTACATTGTCAGTTTATGTACTCGTTACTAATGGGGCACATTTTTAATGAGTGCAAAGAAGTTGTTCTGGGGTTTCGTCAATTAAGGTAATAACGCCAGAAGTCAAATCAGTAGAAACGTCCATCAGTTTGTCTGTCCTTGCTTACGTTTGTGTTTAAAAAGTATTTACTATAGGAAAAATATGTAGCATCTAATTTGCTTTGATGTTATTCAATGTACAATAGGTTTCTGTAGCTAATATGATTTTATGTGGCTTAAACGAAAAATGTGATAGCCATAAAAACGAAAATGTTGGAATGTCCACCCGTCTGTCTGGTTGCCACATCAATGTCTGCTCAATGTATTGATAACCATAAGATATGCTGTCTGTATATTTTATAGGGAAGATGGTCATGGTCAATATTTAGGCTAATTGTCAAGGTCACAGTCATAAATAGTCTAATGCGGCCAATAGGCATTAGTATGGTGAAACTTTGTAGGACCATTGGCCATGTCCGATAGATGACCCTTTTGAGTTTAAGTTCAAAGGGTCCGGTTTTATGGTCACAGTTTTACGCAGTGTACAATAATGCTCTGATCAATGACTTCAGAAAGAAAAAGCCTACTATATATGTTTGTGAAAGTTGGTAGGGCCATTGCTCATGGTCACTCAATGACGCTTGTAACTTTAATGTCAAGGTCAACGTCAAAGGAACACAGAAGAAGTATAAAGCCCATATCCAAAATAACATGTTTAGTTCTTTTAAATGATGTTTTGAAAATTCTTTGATTCAGAAATACATGTATAATTAGGATTATAGGAAAATATTTATTACAAAATTGGACAAGCAGAAAAAAAGGATAGTTTATGGGTTGTATTGGGGTTGCGTTCATTGAACGCCGCCTTTCCTTGATGATCATGTTTATCATATTTTATATAAAACATGCTTTGAGAATTTTTTATGAATGAAGTTTAGTAGTATTTTATGACTTTTGATCTATTTATGATGAAAGATACAAATTCAACTACGTTTAACACCTACATAAGTCATAGTTTCCTCTTTCTTTTTTTCAGAATTCCATAAAAGAAGTCTCTACAAATAAAGGTAAAGTTAAACAAGAAACAGAGATATTCAAACTATATCTTCAAATTGTTATATTGAAAGTTGCGTCAAGTTCTATTCTTGTAATTTGGACTGTGGCACCAGTTCCGTATCGACAACTTTTTATTTGCCTCATCTTAACAAATGATCGCTATGATGATGATTTTCAATATTTTTATACGTATGCCTCATGATCAGCAGCGGATATGTCACATTGTCCTCTTGTTGCCTCAATAGCTCTTAAGTTTTTGTTTTAAAGGTTTTCATTTTTACCAGTATTTTCAAATAAACAAACGTAAAGGGCAACTAAAATATAATTTATTAAGTCAAAATATCAATGGAAATAATACATTGATATTGTTGTTAAGTATATAAAAAAGATAAAATATATACTCAACTTAACTTTAAACAATGTAGATAAAATTTATTCTGTAGATGAGAAAAGAAATTCTGAAAACAACGCCGATGAAGCTGATGATTCTACACAAGCAGATGGATCAAAACCGTCTAAGCCAAAAGGTAATTGATTTGCATTAGCAAAAATATAACGTCGAAAAATGAAGGTTTAATATTTAATTAAATTGATTTAAGTTAAACATTCAATTTGATGATTTTGTCGATTGGTTTTAGCAACTTGTCCCCATATTCATGCTGATTTTGATGACAATTTTGAAATTTCATTTTAAAGTAAAATATTTTGAAGTAAACAAAAAAAAATTATTACATCGCAAAAGACCACGTAAATTACAAAAGATGTGTGAAGTTGGCGACCCAGCGGCCTGGCGGCGTGAAGTTGGCGGCGTGCAATTAGCGGCCTGGCGGCGTGAAGTTGGCGGCCTAGCGGCCTGGCGGCGTGAAGTTGGCGGCCCAGCGGCCTGACGGCCAAAAATTTAATGTTGTAGAAATGTTATTTTAACACTAAAACGGCATTTAATGAAGTTTCACCTTATCAGAATGAAGTTTTAAAGATAATTATTGTTATTAAAAGGATAATTCAAAAGAAAAAATAACTTTTTTATTTTCTCATTTTTGTGAAGTTGGCGGTCTGGCAGCCCAGCGGCCTGACGGCCAAAAATTTTAATGTTGTAGAAATGTTATTTTAACAATAAAACGTCATTTTATGAAGTTTTAAAGATAACTAGTGTTATTTAAAGGATAATTCAAAAGAAAAAATCACTTTCAGAGAACTTTTTTATTTTGTCATTTTTGTGAAGTTGGCGGCCTGGCAGCCCAGCGGCCTGACGGCCAAAAATGTCAATGTTATAGAAATGTTATTTTAACAATAAAACGTCATTTAATGAAGTTTTAAAGATAACTAATGTTATTTAAAGGATAATTCAAAAGAAAAAATCACTTTCAGAGAACTTTTTTATTTTGTAATTTTTGTGAAGTTGGCGGCCTGGCAGCCCAGCGGCCTGACGGCCAAAAATGTCAATGTTATAGAAATGTTATTTTAACAATAAAACGGCATTTAATGAAGTTTTAAAGATAATTATTTGTTATTTAAAGGATATATCAAAAGAAAAAAAATCATTTTCAGAGAACTTTTTTATTTTGTCATTTTTGTGAAGTTGGCGGCCAAGCGGCCTGGCGGCCTGGTGGCCACAAATTTTAATGTTGTAGAAATGTTATTTTTAACAATAAAACGGCATTTAATGAAGTTTTGAAGATAATTATTGTTATTTAAAGGATATATCAAAAGAAAAAATCACTTTCAGAGAACTTTTTTATTTTCTCATTTTTGTGAAGTTGGCGGCCTGGCAGCCCAGCGGCCTGACGGCCAAAAATTTTAATGTTGTAGAAATGTTATTTTAACAATAAAACGGCATTTAATGAAGTTTTTAAGATAATTAGTGTTATTTAAAGGATATATCAAAAGAAAAAAATCACTTTCAAAGAACTTTTTTATTTTGTCATTTTTGTGAAGTTGGCGGCCTGGCAGCCCAGCGGCCTGACGGCCAAAAATTTTAATGTTGTAGAAATGTTATTTTAACAATAAAACGGCATTTTATGAAGTTTTAAAGACAATTCTTGTTATTTAAAGGATAAATAAAAAGAAAAAATCACTTTGAGATCACTTTTTTTCTTTATTTTATAATTTTTCTGAAGTTTTTGTTATTTAAAAGATATATAAGCAAAGGATCACTTTGAGAGATCTTTTATCATTTTTGTGAAGGTAGCGGCGTAAACTTGTTTTATGTATGGTACGCCTGGGATTCAGGCGTTGATATTTTTTGCTTATTCATTACATACATACGCGTTATTTCATACTTGTTCGTGTTTTTGATAATATCGATCAGCCGAACAGAAGCACATAAGAATGACAGACTGGAACGCAGGCTAATATATGGTGTACAATTTCTGTAACAAATATGAATGGTCCTTTATGAGGTTTTAAAACATTTTTTTTCGGGTCCCATCCAATTTATTATCCCCGTCCCAACCATAAGTATAAGTCAGGTAATCATCCTTTACTGACTTTACAAAATAACTTTTGCTTACACATTTATTAACAATAACTCATGATTATAGCATGGGTTATGGTCATACCCTAAATGATTTGGATGAAACTGAAAGGTTGAATGGTCCGGATTCCGATTGCTAGCACAAGTGTAAATTAGTCGTTATTCGGGTGAAAATGTATTAAATGTTTCCATGTTGTCATTTTAACGCTATTATTTGTTAAAGTTCAATATGTGAACTTGTAATTTTTAAACATTGATTTGTTTTAACATTTGTATATGTTGTATGTTGCTTGTAAATGTATGTAATTGTTTAAATTATTATCATGCATCACATGTTTATAAATATATCGTTCTTACTATTGCTGTAGTTCAACACTTCATTCTTATGGTGTTGTATATACAGATATTCCCAGAATAAATGTACAGTAACTTTGCTTTCTTATTAAAATTATTAAGGTTTTGCACCCATTTTCGATCTGTATCGCATAATAGTTATACCTAATCACCGCATGAATTATGGTAAAAATACATTTTGTTACAATGATGCCAATATTTAGAATAGAATCTTATTTTATAACGGTCATATTATTCTCTAACATATTTTGAAAATAAAAACATAACTTGTACACGAAATAAATATCTTTATAACCATATCATTACTATATTATAGTACTTATTATGCATGTATATTTATAATAAATAAATTAAAGTATTATTATGGCGAGTGGTTAGCGCGTCGGACTAGTCATCTATGTATCGCTCGCCGTGTTGGCACAAAGCCAGTTAGGGGCAAGCCGTTATTTTCTTGAACAAGACACGTAACACTTAATGAATAATAGAATATATCATCCAACTTTCTCCTCATAATCAGAACTCTCCAACCACTATGCTGCTCAGTTGTACGTATCCATCTTCTATATATCAATAAAAATGCAAAGTAAAATAACTGAATAACTTGCACAACCCATTATATCATAATGGTATGACCCGTTAATGTAAACGTTATCGAGTTCGATTTGAACCTTTGTTTACATAAGAGCGAAAAAAAATATGGAAAGCCATGGCTTTCTTATACTGTTCTTTTCCAATTTATTTAACCATTTGGATAATATATAAGTTCACTTCGACTATATATGAATTGAAAACACCTTATTTAACCGGAATCCATCATGTTAATCCACAGTTACAATATATGAAACCGTACCGTCAGTGTATGAAACCGAGTTAGCAATATATAACAAGGGGGAGAATCACGCCGTTCGTTACCCAAACAAACAAGATGGCGGATGCAGCCAAAAAGTAGGTTTTTTCCCTTTTTTCTCTGAAATTCGTGATGTTCTAAAGTAAAAGTACGCATAACAACCTTCTCCACAATTTTCCTGGCACACAGGATTTTATTTCATGATGTTTCGTCCCGTACTTCATCTGAAATGCGCGTCACCAGATTCGAAGCGAGAGAATTTTCCATCGGTTTGATCGTGGTAACGTACGGCTTTTTCTCTCAAATTCACCGTTTCTTTTACATATATGTATGTTAACTGAAACCACTGACTAATATGTCGTCATCTAAGCAGTCATGCCCATTCTGGCTAGATTTACTGCTGTAAATATTAATATCGGGGCATTTTCCGGAAATGATAACGTATGGCGCACAAAATATCAATGATAACGTACGGCGCATTTTACTACTGGGTCCAATCATCTGATAATGAATTATTCTTATGTAGGAAATGATAGATATCTGAAAAAAAGTTGTTCATGACAGAAATAATTAATTGAACAATGCTGTACCATCGGATATAAATATCTTTCTAGCTGGTGGCATAATAGATATCCGTTGTTAATATACCAGTAAAAATACACGTGTATAGTTTGAGAATATTTTTGTATAAAATGCAGAATGGAAAGAAAGCCTTCAATTTCAGGAAACATTTGTGTAGTGTTGTCTTCATATTAAATTTTGCCAGTGTTGTGCGATATTGATGGTCTTATCACCTTAACAGAAAGAAGAAACGCATTCAGCAGAGCAAAAATGTTAAAAAGGAACGGACGGCTTGATATATTTTCTTTTCCAAGAAAAAGTCTTAAATCATTCATAACAAATTTCTGATAAGGAAATCTTTATATTTGAACCCGTCAAACATTTACAAAACGAAAAGTGATTGCGACTAGCTTACAGCCAGATGAAATGAGCCCTGGTCGCTCATTGAAAGAAAAATACTTAACAGAAAATACTGAATGAGTGTAGGTTCTATATTGAATTTATTGAATAAGTTAGAAAATAATGTTATGCGAAAAACTTCAATGAATTTAGTAAATAAGAAATTTTCTGTTTATTTGACGGGCGGTTAATATTGAAACGCTACCATTTAGCGTGACGTTGTGCCACTGTGACGTCAGATATAGTCCAATTAAAGTAAAATTTAACGTCAAACAAATTGCAACACAAGCTTTTTTTACATTTTTAGTTTGTTATACACATCATATAAAACAGGTAAAAATCCTAAATAATTCTAACCATGGCAAACCATTAAAAAAAGCAATTCAAATTTTGCATTTGTTTCTAGTTTTTTTATGGCTCTGCATGTACACCATACACAGAGTTTTATACTGTAACCGGTGTCGAGGTAAACAAAAGTTATGAGGCCGCGCGATTTAAATATATCAAAATTTACACATTTACTACTTGGAGTTGGATTTAGAAGCTGTTGTGCAAAGTATGTATAAATTTTATTATATTTACTTGTTTTTACAACTTTTAGCCTCGTACATGCCCAAATATCAAATACAATGAATGAATTGTAATGGGTTTTCGCGTGTATATAAATCAGCGTTTGTCGTTTAAAACAGTAAAGATTTTGCAATTTTCATGAGATATAAATAATCATTAGCCTATATATTAACATTCCTTTTGATAATAAGATGTTTATTAAGTAGGAAAAATAAAAATAAACACATTTAAGTTTATCCTGGGTAGCTTCAAAATGTAACTACGGAAGCGTGTTCGGGTAAACAATGCACGAAATCTAGAATAAATTGTTATTAATTTTAGAA